GCAGCTTCACTCTCCAGCCTTCCCTGGCCTCAGTAAGGATGAGCTGACCACGAGCTTATTTGGCTTTGGGGGACCCCTAGCCTCTTTTTCTTTCTTTTCATTAGGAGGAGCTGGGGGAGAACCCAGCCAACCCCTTTTCCGTACCTTCTCTCTCACTAGAATCACATCTGCAGCTCCTCCTCCTCCGCTCTCCCTCAGGTTTAGACCGTGGAGCGGTAACACATCTGTTCTTCCTATGAGACGTTTGTGTTGGAGACGCCTGTGCCCAGCACCCTGGGGGACATGCACCTGCTCACCTTTGTTTAGGAAGGTGTCCTGAGGGGAGGTCATACCTGCTGCAGCTCAGCACAGGGTCCACACCAAGGCTTGGACCCCATTTTCAGTGGCCCTGAGTTCACACCAGCAGATCTCCCCTTCCAGACTTAGATCCTAACGTCTGGCTTCCTCCAGGCTGAGACTGCTGGCAAATCCTGAAGAATCCGTATCGGAGCTCATCCTGCTCCCCTTCTCCCTCATCCCAAGTGGATATGGCCAGACAGATCCTTTCTATCCAACTCAATAAAATGTGGGGGAGTATTTATATCAGTATCTGTTTGGTCTCCTCCTCCTATAAAAAGTAAATGCTCAAAACATAACTGAGGGAAGGGCATGAAGGAAGCCAGGACTTCGGTGTATCTGCCTCAGTAAGTAGGGGTGGCCAGAGTAAACCAGGTCTTCCCCCCGATTCGGCCCATGGTCCTGCAGGGACTACCGAGAGATACCAGGGTGTCTGGTGCTAACAGACAGTTCTCCTGGCAGGTGCTTCCAGAGTGTCCTGGAAACAAGCAGCCAGTGTCCCTTTTCCCAGGAATACTGATGAGGGCTTCTTCCCCTGAATCCCATTCCCTTGCATAGTGACTCTTCTCCCTTGGGAGTCTCTTTAAGGCAGCAACAAGGATAAAGGTATGACAGCTCACACAAGTGCTTGTTCTGGGCCCGTCTAAACTCATCACCACCCTGTATTATTCCCATTTGACTGCTGAGGCACAGGGAAGGTAGGAAGCTTGTCCAAGCTCACGCTCTTCCTGCCTGACACATTTGGGATTTTTGAATCTAAGCGGGAGAGCTTGTGTTCTTACCTGATAGCGAACCCTGCACAGCGAGGTGGGCCCCGGGCCGCTCAGCCTCACACCTGTGCAGAGACATGACCCAAGCAGCCGGGGAAAGGCAGAGGTGGGCCTGAGGCCACCTGCTTCAGAGGAATAAGTGGCACTGGCTGTTCCTCCAGCCCCACCCCCTAAATCTCTGCTTCTCATCAGGCAGCAAAACAAAGACCGGAAGGACATGAGGGCTGCCTGGGGGGTGGGGCTAAGGGAAGACCTTTGTCCCAGAGCTTCCATGTTTGTATGATGTCTTTCAGGACAGTGTCCAAATGTATGTCTGTACACTTAGTATGGTATTCCTCAGTCTGAACATTTGTTCCCCTCCTCTGCCTCCTGAAGTGCTCCCAGCCTCGCAAAGCTAAGTGAGGGCCAGAAACCAAGCGCGGTGGTTCACGCCTGTAATCACAACACTTTGGGAGACTGAGGCGGGTGAATCACCTGAGGTCAGGAGTTCGAGACCAGCCTGGCCAACATGGTGAAACCAAGTCTCTACTAAAAATACAAAAAAAAAAAAATTCCGGGCGTGGTGGCGGGCGCCTGTAATTTCAGCTACTCAGGAGGCTGAAGCAGGAGAATTGCTTGAACTCAGGAGGCGGGGGTTGTAGTGAGCTGAGATGGTGCCATTGCACTCCAGCCTGTGCGACAAGAGCAAAACTCCATCTCAAAAAAGCAAAAAAAAAAGGAAAACTAAGCAGGCGAAGGAGGGGGACAGCATGACGAGCGTAAAGAACCCAGGGGATCTGTGTTCTCTGGCTCTCTGGTGTACCACATCCCGGAAGAGTCAGCAAGCACAGCCTTGTCAGTTTCCCCCCCGGGGCGGGGCTGCAGCAGCAAGGCCATTTTTAACATGCTGTGGCAAACAGACTTTGTGTCTACTCAGCTGCCAGTCTAAGGACTTCTGTCGTCTTTGCCGACTCACAGATGTCCAGACATGGAGCTGTTATTTCGAGTACATTTCTCCTGTTCATCTTGCCGGGAAAAAAAATGACCTTTTAATGCTCCTGATAAGGATGTCACTAGAGGTGGGGGTTTTCCTGCAGTTAGGGACAGTTGGCACACCCATGACGACCAGGGTCCTGAGGGAGACCTTCTACTCCGCCCATGTCAGCCACCCAAAACGCAGCCATTTCTTAGAGTGAGGACACTGGTTCAGGGTTCCCCGATTCACTCGTAGACTTGAGAGGAGAAAGGGGTACTTTTCCACTGTCTCACGTCCTGTCCCTGCAGATTCTGGGGAATGAAATGCAGTCTGATATACATCCCCAAAGAGATGTCATTGAGACTTACTCAGCATCCTCCTTATCAAGAATAAAGGACCCTGTGGCTTGGCAGGGAGGCGCTGTTCTGGCCTTCCTGTCTGAACCACAGTGGCACATCGTGGGTTTGCTTTGGTTCTGCAAACTTACGGGGTAGAAGCAAAGCAGGCATGACCACAACCTGATTGTGCCACAAAACGCTTAAACCAACCTCCAAATGATCTATCCCTAGAATACCACCACCCCTGCTTCCTAAGGCTGACATTGTTTGCCTGCAACTAGGTTCTCATTTGCCGGGAGGCCCCCTTTCAACCGCCTTTCTCTCTGCCGCCTTCCAGATCTTGTCCACTTTGATATTCCCTCGATCCACATAGAGCTCGGGTCGACACTCCGCCTGAGTCCCCTGGAGCACATGCGGCGACACTCAGTGACTGACAAGAGGGACTCGGAGGAGGAGTCTGAGAGCACCGCCCTCTGACATGGCACCGCCCATCCTGCCTCGCGTGTACATACATCACGGGCCCTAGGAACGCCGCCAGGAGCAGCGTCCGTGAGCTTGCCAAGTGTTCTCTGCTGGCTCTTTCCTGCCACTGCCAACGCGAGGTTGGAGTCTGGCAGGAAATTGTGATCGCCAGTCCGTGTGGTGATGCTGGTGGTGCAGATTTTGTTTGTTCCTTTCGGGTGGTGACTTCGGCCTTTTGTTTGACCTTTGCCTTTTGACTTTGTGCCTCTTTTGATCCACTTTCAGCCTCCATGCCAAGCAACACCCCCCTCTCCATCCAAGGCTGGTCAGGAGCGTCCTTTGCAGGGTCGGAGTGGTGCGGGAGAGGCTCACTTTGCCTGGTGAGACCCGAGGGCTGCTACCTTTTCCTCGGACGGCTCATGGCAGGTCTTGCAGGAGCAGTTTAATGGCCACAGAAAGGAAGCAGGACAGCAGGGTCCCTGTCACCCACACCTAGACCAGGTCCGGGATTCTAGCAGTCCTGGGGCACTGACCTTTGCCAGCCACTCGGGGGAGGCCTTGCCACTGGAAAACCTTCCGGGCTGCCCCCATCAGTGGGCTCCAAAGTAAGTGGCTGAAGACAAAAATGTGTTTCGCTTCCTAAGTTTTCCTTTTTCCACTGTGTGACTGAAAGCTCCTATATCATTTTCTACTTCTGAATCTATAAAACAAGCCTGACGGTGTCTGGAGGCCCCAACGGTGGCCTCCATGTCCCCAAATCTATTGGCTATATGAGAGTAATTTTACTCCTCTAGGTACCTAAAGGCACCCAGCTCACTAGTCTGTGGGGTCCTGGAGCCTGCCTCTTCTTTCTGGAGGTTCAAACTGAATAGCAATAATTATGTTACCCAAAGCATGTGGAGGAAAAGTGAAACCGGCCACGGAGACACCGGGCCATGGGCTCGGCCTGCGGTGTGGCCTGCTTTGCTCACCAGCGTCAGCCGCTCATCCCTTCTCATGAAGTCCCATCCGGTCATGGGGACGAGGGCTGGGAGGGTACTGGGGAGCCTCTTCACACTTGGGGATTAGGGGAGTGAGAAAAGATTTGGGCCATGCATGCAAAGTAAAAGTTTAAAATTTTATCCTTTTAAAATAGATATAATATACCTATACATGATATAATATTTGTATATATGAAATCTCTCTATATTTGTTTAATTTGAGCCATTCAATCTAAACCAATGTACAGGTGTACAATGAAAAATTTAAATGCTTAGTTATTTTTCCCAACACAGTGTAAAGTCACCCTCCTCTGAGAGTGGGATGTGCAGACTTTTGATGTTACAGCTTTGCTCACTTCCTGGCAAGGGCAGTTCACGCCTCAATTTGTAATGGGAGTCTGGGGTAAGGGTGGGGGTTGAAAGTTATCTTTAAATACATGTACAAATCGTTGTCAAAAGTAATGTTATTAAAATAGATTTATTATCCCTGGGCTTGGCATCTGTTCTGGCTTTAATAAACCTGCGGGGATGTGGCTGTCAATCTCGAATGTGCGCCCGGTTGGCACCTGAAGGTCACCACTAGTGTAAAGCAAGTCGCTGGTTGAGCTCTCACTTGTCGCTTGAGTTTTTAAAGCACTTTTCATGTTCTCCCGGGTAGGGAGAATATACAGCAAGTACTAGATTCGACTTGGAAAATGCTCTCCATTTGTCAAGCACTAATCTGTGTCTGTAAATCCCACCAGGAGGACAAAAGAAACCAGCTCCGTGTGCCATTTCTCAAAACCTTCAAGGGCAAAGTGATCCTCACTCTCAGTATGGAAGCAACAGAGCAAATCTATTGTCTCCACTTTTACCCAGAACCACCAGAAGACTTGCATTTCCCTGACCACTGACACTAGCCCGGCCAGGCTCTCACTGATAGGGGAAGCACGCCCTGCTGTGAGCTGGCACAGCTTGAGTTCTGTCAAAAGACTTGGCGAACGAGGGTGGCTCTCTCAGGACAGGTTCCAGAGGTGCTCACTACGATGGGGGATGACTTCCAAGCCAGCCGGGTACCAGGCAGCTGCCATGCTGCAGCGCAGAGAGCCTTCTCCAAGGCGGTGCCCAGCAGACCCTGCTCTGTAGCAGCAGCAGGAGGAAGCAAAAGAACTCACAGTTCCAAACTCCATCTTTATTGCAGCTGAAATACTATTTTCGTTGAGTCTCGGACACTGAGACCCAGTGTTCCTGTGACTCTGCTTGTCTCTGGCGTGCAGGGAATCACTTTGCTGGATGAGAGGAAAGGTGTTGCCGTCTGTTTCCATGACTTCTTAAAATACTGCCTTGAAGTGAAATTAGTTCATTTGCTTGCTTCCGTGTAGCAGCCTCCTGTTCCACGGCTGTGCCAGGCACCAGTCCTAAGAGGCGTCTATAAACTAGTGCTTATCTGGGAGTCCAAGCCTCGGCACAACTCCACACCACCTATCCTGAGCTGCCTCCTGCGTGGACCATGCTCTTCAGCTTCTACCAGCAAGGAGGGCAGATACGGGTGCGTGCGTGGGGCAGAAGACACACAGCCGTCAGAGTTCAGGGTCACTCCCAGATCTTCACTGGGCTCTGACCTTCTTGCTCTGTGGCTCCTCTGTGTGGGCCCGTTTCTGCTGGGGCTCCCCATCCTCCAGGTCGTCTGTCAGAGCCCTGGACAGGAGGGCCGCCCGCACCTGCCGCAGCTCCCGCTTCTCCCTGCGCTCCTCCATCTCCTCAATGTCGCCAGCAAACAGGGCTTTCAGTGGGGGAATCAGCTTGGGCACTGTTGGAAAGTCTCCAAAGGAGACCTAGAAGACACAATAGAAGACAAGGACATGCCTCAGAGGGGCAGAGGTGGGGACAGGAGCTGGGAGAGATGCAGTCATGCGCTCACACAGCAGCGCCAACGCCCCCTCCTTACGCACAAGCCAACAGGTCACAGTTGAAATGGAAAAAAGCATGGCATGGAGGGAGCCCTCTAAAGAAGGGACAGAGTCTCCCCAGGCCTGGCTAAGGGCCTCCGGAGAGGGAAGGGAAAGCAGTCCAGATGCTCTCAAAGTCAAGCTCCTGAAAAAGGAGGCCTGGTTTGGGCCCCGCCCCTTCATTCCGGAAGGCCAAAGCTCAGGCCTGGCTTTCCCACTCACAAGAGGCAACCACCTGTCTCACAGGTCTGTGCTGAGGCTCAAATGCCATGACTGTGTGAGCAGTCCAGGCCTGAAAAGACTCTTCAGAAATTTCCAGTGGACTGAGACCGAAGACTAGCTGGCCCCTGCAGGAGGTGGGTCTCACCAGCAAACCCAGCGTGGTTTGACCTGGTTAGTGACGGGTAGATACCCTTTTCCCACGGTGGCCCCAAAGAAGAAAGCTAACTCCAGCTGACTGTCCTACTCAGTGTGTAGAATCCCGTCTCCCTGCCCCGTCCCTGCCCCGTCCGTGCCCCTTCCCCGCCCCGTGCTGCCCACGTGACATACAGACCTTCATGTGGTCAAAGGCAATTCCCACTTTCTCGTTGAAGTCGGGGCTAAAGAGGGGGACCTTGGCGTAGCGCTGGCTGAAGTGGTTCAGCATGATGAACTCCGCGTTCATCCGCATCCCCACACGGATGGCTTGGGACGTTGTGCTGCGGGCAAAGGACAGAGCAGACTGAAGCTGAACCCAAGTGCAAGACTGCGAAGAGTGGCACAGACCCTGGCAGTCAACTGCCAGGCTACCTGGGGAAGCTGGTGGGTTTTCTTAATGAGCACCTCTGTAGCCAGCACAATCTCCCCTGAGGGCCAGAGCCTTCACACACTCCCCTGAATGAAGCCCACCCTCTGTATTGGCTGCCAAATCTGTCTATGAGGGCACCCAAAGAGAAAGCACAGGGCCCACCTGGGGTAATGCACTCTTTCGTCGAAATTAACAGCCCAAGATTCAGTCCCCCAGCCCCCACCTTCCCCTGGCAATTCTCTGACGTGGTTTAGAGTTTATTCAGCTATTTCTAAATGCTTTCAAAAAACTGTGCCTCACTCTAGAACCTTGCCTAGAAAATTGTGCAAAAATAAAGGCCAAGGGCCTGTGAGCATTGCCATAGGTCAAGGAAGCCCCCATAGCCCTTGATAGGAAGCAGGGCAGCACCACATCAGTGGAGACACAAATGATGGCTGCTCAGTGTCACATAGTAGGGGAGGGGGAGGATATGGGGGACAAGGACTAACCGGCCTTTGCTACCTGTGTGTCTTTTCCACTGCTTCCTCTTCCAAACCATCTTCCAGGGTGGCTTCATGTATCAGGAGGGTGGCATCTTTCCCTGGAGAAAAAGCACAAGGATCAGGGCGGAGTTCTCTGCAAGAACAGCACACAGGCCTCAGTCACGTGCTGTTTCCTGGTCTCAACACTCGGCTCCCCTGGCCCTGGGTCTGCCTATTAGGATGACAACCAGAGACTCTGAGGGCAGGGACTTGAGTCTCCTGCCTCTGCTGCTGTTTCCCCCCAAACTCAGCTGCATTCACCTCCAGCGACACAAACCCCAGAGCAACCTCACGGTGGCTGGCTTCTTCCTCTACTCACCCATCCGGACCAGAGCCTCACAGGGCATGGTGTCCCCGGAATAGACCACTTTCCAACCAGAGGTGTGCACCAGCGCACAGCCAAACGCATGCCTGCAGTGCCGCACCAGACAGGTCTGAAACTAAAAGGGCGGGGCTGGAGGGCTCTGCAGCTCTGCTCCCCATCTCGCCCCCACGATGCCTGCAGTGGTGCCTCTTACCTCTTCCAAATCACATGTTCCCAACAGCGAACTGATCAATCTTTCCACTGCAGGACTGGGGATCTCAGCCCCTACCTGAAGGTATTTGGCAGGAATCATACTGTAAAAAGACAAAACATTTAAAACATTTCTTGGACATCTGGAACCAAAGTTTAAGTCTTTGGCTGCAGAACCCCAAAATCATTCTTAGGTAGAAACATGATTGAAATCATAGTCCCTAAGATGAAGAAACAGCTGTCAAATACAAAGAGCCAAACCCAAGCCTCTGGGCCACTGGGAGAGACCCAGCAGGTGAATACCGCCTCCAGCTCAGGCAGCACAGGCCACGGCGACTCCAGCAGAGGGGACTCCTTCCCCTTGGGGTGAGGATGGCGCCACCTCCCGCTGGCCACACACCTGGTCTGGACAGTCTCTGTGCTAGCCACTATTTGGGTGCTTGGCTCCGGAACTCTCATGAAGAAAAGCTGGTCAATGTTTAGAAAGCAGCTCAGAACTCAAATGAGGACTGGGAAGAAATGCTTCTAAGAAAATAAGCATGATGTGGGAACTATCTAATGGTTTCTGTCCTTCAGCCAGAGCACTTCTCTCTTGCTTCTGCCTTCTGGGACAATGTCAAGGGCAAGGCTCCTGGGGGATAGTGGTAACTGCCCCAGTGTCAACCTTGAGCTTCTGAAGGAGGTGGAAGCAAGCAACAACCCAGGGGCCAGGCTGCCCTGGATGCTCACCTGACGTGGTGCAGGACCTCCTGGCACTGGTTGTGGTACTGCTGGAGCCAGGCTTTGAGCTGGGTGGGGGCAACCACCAGCAAAGGGTGAAATGGCTTTCCCAAAGACGCCTGAAACAAAAAATCCAAGTGCTGACTCAACGATGGAACATCTCAATAAACGCTGGAGGCCAAGAGGCGTGGCGGATGATGTGTAAACCACTGGAACTCAAAACGTCGATGAAGTGCCGCACTTACCAAGGCTCGTTCTCTCTGCAGCAAGATATTTAGCAAGCCCTGGCAAGGAAACAGGAAACATGCATTAGCCAGGCCCGAGGATGATCTCCTTCGGGTTAGGGTCTGCAGCCCTCCCTCTTGCAGGAGTTGCCAGCCCTATGTCACCCACCAGTCTCCAACACGGCCGCAGTGGGGGTGGCACATGCTAAGCCCCCTGCGCCATGACCCTGAAATGTCATAGGCAGAAAGCAATGGGACCCGTATTGGGAAGAGGGCAATGGCCCAGAGCCCAGCACCCCAGGAGACCAAGGTGAGGGTCTCATAGCCACACTTCCGGCATCTGGCCAAAGCTTCCTCTGAGCAGGCCGTGTGAGATTCAAAATTCAAGGCTGGGTAAACCCAAAGCTGTCCTGCTGCAGGAAAGGAACTAAATAGAGAGAGAAGACATTCCTGTGGCACAGAAGGACTACGTTGAGTTTTGTAAAAGACCATTTTCTAGCTAGAGATGAGTAAGAAAAGCTTGGGCAAGTTAGGGAAGCAGAGGAAAAGATGCGGCCAAAGGGCCAACTCAGTGTGGCAGTGCCTCCTCCAGGCTCCAGCTTTGTGGTCCAGCCCAACACTCACCGTGTGGTGATCTGCGTGCAGGTGGGACACAAACACGGCAGCCAGGCTGCCCAGGATCCGGTCCACCTGGTCTCCATAATGACGGTACAGCTGCCCAAACGTGCCCTCACCACAGTCCAGTAGCAGAGACATGTCGGGGCTACAGAAGAGAAGAGCAAGAGAGTCACCGCCACTGGGAGGGCTGCCGACAGTTCAGAGGCTGATGTCTGCTTTGGACAAGACCAGGAAGCAGCTGTAGAAAGGTCTGGCTCTCGTGCTTTTCTTTGAGGAGCTAATATAAAAGCCAATTAATTGAACCGTAAAGGTAATTTTACATGTGTCATCCTGTTTACAGCAAAGGATTATACATGGAACCCTGAAACCCTTTCAAGTATACTTACACAAAGGCTGGGCATCAAAAAAAAAAAAAAAAAAAAGTTTATAGGAGGCTTAAAGCATTTAGTCCTAACAATAAATCTGACTACACAGACTGACTGTGGCCACAGCCTCTCTTGAGAATACCAGGACAGACACTGGGCCATATGAGACTGTTTCTAGGTCCAGCTGCCGTCGGACTTTTCCCCCTTTGCATGCGGTCGGGGTTTCCTCAGTTCATGTCCTCAAAGACACCTGGGGCCGGGCGGGCTGCAGGTGCTTCATTCAGGGAGCTAGTTAACGCAGACTCCCAGGTGCCACTCGGGGTTTCTGACTTGGTTTTAGGCAGGGCTCTGGGAGCTTGGATTCTGACAAGCTTCTTGGGCTATTCTGACGTGCAGTGCATTTCAGAAGCTCTGCTCCAAGGCAGAGAGAGTGCTGACCCGCTCTGGCCTTCTTCCTTCTCTGGGAGGAGCCAGGAAGACGGAGAGGGCTGCACCCATTTTGCAGAGAGAAGCCTCAGTGCTGAGACATGACCTTCCGGGGAAAAGGGAGTTGGGACACAAGGTGGCAACAGCACCTTCCCATTAGCTTCAGCCGGTTCAAAAGCCACTTGCAGGGGGGTCAGGTCAGCAACTTAAAAAGCCCTTCTTCCCCCAGGATCTCAGCCCCCGGGAGAGGCCGGCTCACTCCAAGCTGCTTTATTGCATGTCCTCGTCCACAGAGAAACACACCCCCAGATAGTGTATTTCTGATGTCAGGGCACATCTCGTCACTGCTGTATGTATTTAATGCACTATTTGCTTGTTTCTCATCCATCACTAGCATCTAAGATGACAAAGCAAAATTTAAAAACAAACCTACTAATGCACAATCTTATTTTCTTCACATACTATCTGCAGAGGTAACATGTACATTTCACAACGCGTTTGACTAATCTCTCTGCTGATAAACGACCCCAGGCAAACCCAAGAGAATCAACTAAAAAACATGTCAAGGGGAATCCAATAAAGGGGCTGAACACAAATGTGCAGAACCCTAAAGCTTTTGAACATACTAGCAACAGATAGCTGGGGGACAATACCAGGTAGCAATCCAGACCCCAAGTCCCCGCTCAAACTTCAGATGCCCCACTTACCAGCTGTAGGAACTACAGCAAGTCACCTCTCTGAGCATCGGTTCACCCCTCAACAAAATGGGTAGTTACTCACCACTTCATAGGATTAATGTAAAAATTAAACGAGATGATTTCTTAGGTGTAGTGCACACAGTAATATCAGCTATTTTTATTAAAAGACATCATGGGATGAACTGTGGTGATTCCCAGGGTAAAAACATTGCTACTGAGGCTATAAAATGCAGTAAGGCCACGCTCCTCTCCTAGACACTCCAGGCGACATGACAAGTGACAGGGCTTGATACCGCTGCATTTTCAAATCGACTGGTGAGGGCAGCAGGACTTTGGTTTAAAAAGGAAACACGCCTTTGATGGAAGGCTGCTTCCTGGGAGAGTAGCATACCTTATGTTGACAAGTGTGGCACTGACATTTCGAATCTTCATCGGGACGGCAGACCCTGTTCCAAGGAAGACGATTTCTGGGTACTGACTTCTTTTCTCTGTGAAAAAATCCATGTGAAACAATCCGTTCCTTGGGGTCAAAAGGGAGCCAGCATGCAGCCCTGAGAAGGTGCAACGCTTTGAGTATCATTGGTTTGTCCCCAAACCTCATGTGGAAACGTGCTCCCCAGTGTGGCGGTGTTGGGAGGCGGGGCCTAGTGGGAGGTGTTTGGGCTACGGGGACGGACCCTCCTGAGTGGCTTGGAGCTGCAGTAGTTAAGTAGTGGCTCTCAGGAGACTGGAGTACTTCTCAAGGGAATGGATTTGTTCCCGGGGGAGGCGGTTGTTATAAAGCCAGGGTGCGGCCCAGGTGTTCCCATCTTCACAAGCGTCCACTTCCTACTTGCCCTCTTCTGCCATGTTATGGCACAACGTGAAAACCGTCACTGGGAGCTAGGGCCGTGACCTTGCAGAACCACGAACTAAATAAACCTCTTTTCTTGATAAATTACCCAGTCTCACATATTCTTTTACAATAATAAAAAACACACTAAGACAGATGGGTAAGCAACACAGTTCCGTCCAGCTTCCCAGGAAGGGGACTGGCAGGCCCCTGGCAACCGCCCCCACACAAAGGACTTCACACCAATGTGGGACCCACTGGCTATTTGTCACCAAAGGGCTGAGAAGAAGAACAAATAAATTCTCTAGTCACTTCTTCAAAAGAATTTCTGTCATTCTTTTACATTTAAAAAATGACATTTCTTTATGCTGGGAATTGTCATTTATTTCAAGAGAGCAGTGTGTGCCTTGCATCCAGCTATTACTGCAAGACCATGCACTTCGGTCTCATCCTTCCAGTTCTATCAGGTAGGAAATGCTCTGCTTCACAAGGGAGAAACAGACTCAGAGGCCCAGGTTTCCAGTGAAGATGGTAAGAGGCAGGGTCAGGATTCAAATCCAGGGAGACCCGATGGTTCCAAAGTCTGTGCCCGGCCCTCAACCTCAGTTGAGTGACGTGGCCAAGATCCTCCAGGGATGTGCATCCACAAAGCCAGGACGAGATCCCTGCCAGCCAAGTCCCTGTTCAAAGCTCTTTCCACAGGCGCTAAACTGTTTCACTCAATGCATGTCTTGTCAAGAATGCTGGGGTGCCATCGCCAAATGCTCTGATTGGGTGGAATTGGGATTCTTTTTTTTTTTTGAGATGGAGTCTCGCTCTATCGCCCAGGCTGGAGTGCAGTGGCGCGATCTTGGTTCACTGCAAGCTCCGCCTCCTGGGTTCACACCATTCTCCTGCCTCAGCCTCCCAAGTAGCTGGGACTACAGGCGCCCGCCACAACACCCGGCTAATTTTTTGTATTTTTAGTAGAGACAGGCTTTCACCACGTTAGCCAGGATGGTCTCGATCTCCTGACCTCATGATCTTCCCGCCTCGGCCTCCCAAAGTGCTGGGATTACAGGCGTCAGCCACCATGCCCAGCCAGGAATTGGGATTCTTAAACTCCACAAAGCCCCCTCCTCTAATGGCCATAATTCTAACATAGAGCCAAAGTAGAGAAGCCCTGGATTAAACTGAAAAGCCAGGTTAGAATGCACCCCGCCAGCACTCTACTCAATGCTGTGAAAACAGCAGGAGGGGGCACAACCCAGGAAAGAAAGGCTGCTCTGCGGGCTCCCACTCACCTGCTGGGGCTGGGCCGTCCTGTGCACTCCTCCTGCACTCCTGCACGCTCTCCTGGAAGTTGGGAAGCTGCAGCGCCTCGTCTATGAATTCCTGAGGATTGCAAGTAATAATGGCATCCCTGCAGGGGGAGAGAGAAGCATCTCAGGTGACGGACGGCGTATATGGCCTCAGCAGACCCTAACGTGGATGTCCAGAATAAATTCAGGGGGACAATCTGCAGGAAGTTCCTTCCGATCAACACTGAAGGGTAAGTGACTAGGATCTGGGGCAGTTCTGCTCCACCGCCTTTTGGATGCTGCCTCGCTCTGCCTCAGGGCCAGTCACTACTGATGCTCAGGACAAGATGCTTTTTTCTTTCTCTGTGGCCAGTGCTGCTGTCCTGGTGCAGGACCCCAACCTCTACTTCCTAGGCTGTGACAACCAAAAATGTTTCCAGACATTGCCAAACGTCCTCGAAGGGGTGAATGGTCCCAGCTGAGAAGCAGAGTCCCTAGAGGAGTGACTCTGAAACTCATGTTCACATCCAGGAACCTTGGCAAAATGCAGAAGCCAATTCAGCAGCTCTACACTGAGATCTCACTTTCCTAGCAAGCCCCAGATCACATGGAGTGACAACTTCTTGGACAGGCGGCTCTTCAACCTGGCAGAGCATTAAAATCATCTGGGGGCTTGTAAGTCCCAAGCCTAACTTTCAAGATCCAATTCACTGGGTCTGGGGCAGGCCCTATGCATTATTTTTCACAAGCATGAGGTAAATGTGAATGTCGGCTAGGGCTGGGAATCGCTGCTGTGTGTTAAGAGCCTGTGCAGATGCTGACAAATGGACACCAGGTTCTTTAACCCCGCGATGTCACTGTGGGCCCGAGTCTTGCTACTACAGTCTCTTAAAGGGCCCCAAGTATCCAACCTCAACAGCATACAGCATCCAGTCATAATCCAGCACATGCTCTATTCTAATACAAACACTATGGAGTGGGCAGGCAACTTAAAATCAAGGTTCAGATCTTTAAAAATTAAAACAGGCCTGGCGTAGTGGTTCATGCCTGTAATCCCAGCACTTTGGGAGGCCGAGGCAGGTGCATCACCTGAGGTCAGGAGTTCGAGACCAGCCTGGCCAACATGGTGAAACCCTGTCTCTCCTGAAATTACAAAAAATGAGCCAGGCGTGGTGGCAGGCGCCTGTAATGCCAGCTACTCGGGAGGCTGGGGCAAGAGAACTGCTTGAACCTGGGAGGCGGAGGTTGCAGTGAGCTGAGATCACACCATTGCACTTCAGCCTGGGCAACAAGAGTGAAACTCGGTCTCAAAAAGAAAATAAGTTACAATTAAGATGTGGGGCAGTAAGGCTGTTCACTTTCCTGGTTGGAGTGTACTGAAAGAGGCTTTCAAGATGGCATTTTACATTTATTAAGTACCTTAACAAGTGTCACACTCTGGGCCAGTAATCCCACATTTACGAATGACTTGAAGGGAACAGACTTCCCATCAAAGATTTATATGTAAGACATTTATTGTTTCATTAAAACAGCAAAAAATTGGAAACATCCCAAATGAGCAAACATCCCTATTTGGAATACCAATAAAAATCTTGTTACTTAAGACTATTTAGTGACACAGGAAAAGACTGTCAGGCCATAAACCCACATACACAAATCAAAAAAAAAAAAAAATGTTATCAACCATTATCTGTGGGCCACAGGATTATGGGTAACTTTGTTCATCACACATTTCTTATTTTCTATACTGTGAAACACATGAGCTCTATCACTGCTACTTCCATGCAAGGCAGTTTTAGAAAAGGAGAACTACTGGCCGCAATCCGCCCACCTCAACCCAGCCTGGAGTAGGCTGCTTTTCTAAATAAATCCGCACTGGCACACAGCCAAGCCCATTCATTAGCTTATTGTCCGTGGCTCTTTTGTGCTCAAAGCAGAGTTGAATAGTTGCAACAGAGACCATATGGTCTGGAGAGCCTCCTGAAACATTTACTATGTGGCTATTTACAGAAATGTTTCCCAACCCGACTGAGACGATTCCATTAGTTCAAGATGGCACAGACCTCTGCCACTCCCTCCTGGGACGGAGCTGGTACTTGAGGAGGCATTCACCCTGAACCACGGGCACGCTGAGGGTGGGGCCCTCCTGCTGAAAGAGACAAAATGCATTCATGGAGAGAAAGAGAAGGGGTGAGAGCTGGGCTGACGAGGGGCCGGTCTGAGACACTACCTTACGGGGGAAACTGGTGAGCAGGGGGAAGATGTCTGGGTGGATGAGGTTGAGCTGGGTTTGAATCTTGTAGCTGCGAAGGTTGTGAACTGAGGCACAGTTCTCATTCAGGACCAAGTGCTGGGTGTCAGGCCCAAACCTGCAATGAAACAGAGCCGGCATTTGCAGCGTTTGTTAGGAAGCAGTTCCCCGAGGAGTGGTGCTGAGCTCGGGAGTGGTAATGTGGATGAGGTGTTCAAACAGTTCAGTGACTTGCCCCAAACAGTGTTACTACATGGCCAAACATGGTCCCACTCCTGCTGTCTCAAAGCCCGGCGTTCCCTAGCTCAGCTGCCTTTCAGGTGTGCTGGGAAGAAAGAGAGGAAAAACAAGAAAAAGAAGATGTCCAGGGCATACAAATTGGGGACTCCAACCCTGAGGAATGAAAGAGACAGCAGGAGAGCAGGCCATGCAGCGAGGGGCAGGTAAAGGGGCCATGTGGGGAGACACAGGCAGGGGCCAAAAAGCAGCCCAAGGTCACCCCGCACCCGAGCTCAACTCATACGCCTCCACCTGGCCCTGGCCAGCGATGTCCTGAGGAAAAAGTGAAGCTCCCTCTCCTTCCAGTGACTAAACATCTACCTCCCAGGGCTGCTGGGGACGACCCTAGAGGAAATGAAGTGAAATGAAGGGTGTTTCACACACTGCCTCCCACAAAGTGGGCATTCAGTAAATGGAAGCTGTCATTTCATATCTGCAATCTCTTCTTTGGGATTCACTTCTGGAATCCTCAACCAAACGGCAGTATTCGTTCAGACACCCTGAAGAGTGTGGAGGATGTAAAATAAATGGAATCGTGTGGACACTGCGCCACCTAGCGGTGCATTGTCTTCCTAAATGTGGCACAGATCTGGGACGCCTAGAATTCTGGCAAGGCAGGAATCCCACAGAAAGTTTAGGCAGGCGCAGAAGGGTAGGTAGCGTTTGAAAGAGCAAGAGGGGAGGAGAGGGGAATCCACCACTGCCCATAAGAGTTACCCCAAGTGCCGCTGGGCTGGGCTCCATACCTCTCCATCCACTGCTGGTACCTGCTGTCCGCAAGCACAGATTCTGGGGCCATGTGAACCACCAAGGCCACGGGGGCATCTGCCTTTCCTTGGTACCTGGGCAGAAAAGTGGGGCTTTACAAAAGTGATGCAGACTCAGGACACACAAAGACAGGGACCATGCAGTCAGGGAGGGGCATCGTGTGGCCCTCTGTGGGCACTGCAGTGAGGTGACAGGCTCCACACCCGGGCCATGCTCTCACAGCAGACCCTGCTCCTGGTCCATTTCCAATGGACACAGGGTTCCTCTATCTGGCAAGCTCTGCTCTGGGCCTTCCAGTCGGCCTGGCTGATCCTTTCTCAGCACTGCAGTTCCTTATAGGGCTCTGACCTGCAAAGCCAGACCCACGCTCTCCCTGCCTCCTCCTGCTCCCGCTCTCCTTTCTCTCTCATGAGCCTTTCCTCGAATAAACCTCCTACACCTCCAATGCCACGTTGGTGTCTGTCTTCCAGAGGACCTGAGACACAGGCATGGAAAATGAAAATCGTCTGAAATTCCACCACCTGGACAACAGAGCACTTACTAACATGCCGATGCGTTTCCCTCCAGTTCCCTTTAAAAAGAAATGCACACGGTAGCTATTTTTATCTACCCCACCATCACCATGCATCTGCACATGGCTCTCAAACGACACCTCATTCACTGAAATGAGTTTTGGGCTCTGCTGCCCAACACTTGATTAAAATACAAAGCCCGGGCTACCAGGGCACCCACATTCACCCACAGAGAATAAAGCAGACCATGAAAGAACTCCTAACACTCTGACTCGGAAGGGGTACGGCAGCCCAAAAGGATTTGTTGTGGTAAGTAGAAAAAAACAAGTGAAAAAATCCAGGTAGATACAAACTAGGAACATGAAAAATACAGGTAAACTGTTAAGAGTGGGGGAAAAGACTCAAACTCAGATATGTGGGTCAAAGATGACTCCACCTGGGGTGAACTGGTTAACTTTGATGGAGGACAAAAACACAGTGGCAGGTGGCCCAAAAGACATTCCCCAGCTGTGATTCCATCCCATAACACAGACTCTTGACCACGACAGTCTCACACACTCTGACTCACCTTATTTGTTTCAATGCAGGTAATAGAAGGAAATTAATTCAGTTCAAAATAATCTGGGCATTAGTTAGAACTCATAAAAGTTCTAGAATTTCTTCTAGCATAAGAGCTGTAAGAGTTCTAGCTGAATTTCTAGTCCTCAGTGGTTTCTAGTTTTCAACCTTTTCTAATTTCACTTTGAGGCTGTGTACACCGGAGCCCACCAACTACCGACAGTGACTTAAGGCAGGAGTCCTGGCCTCTGAACTGTAAACCCAGACAGTGGGCCTTCCCAGAAACACGGCTCTTGCTACAAGATGCCCATGTCGATGCTGGGCTGCGCTTCAGCTCTCACTTCTCCCACCCTAGAGACCCCTCATTACCTCTGAAAGGTGGCATTCTCACAGATGGGTTGAATGAAGCCTTCATCTGGACATTCTACCACCACAAAAGCAGCACCAGGATCTGGAGGAGTACACAGCTCTTCAGCCAAAATCTGCAAAATCAAAAAAGCCCATCCACTGCGGTCACAGCTCAGCCACCAAACTGAACTGTCTTCAACGCAACTGCTAACATGACATATCCTATCCAGCGGGCTGAGAGGTAAACAAAGCACAAAACCAACTTTACACATCACCATCAACACCCTTCTGGTCTCTTTGTGGATACCTAAATAGGTAACTGTCAGGCTGAGGCACTTCAGGCCTACACTGGCCAGGAAAGGAGGCTTGGCATTAAGGTTTTCTTCAATCTGTGGCCACTGGTCTTAATCTCCTTAGAAGTCAGAGGAAATATCTTGACAAAGAATACGGTGACATTCCTCTGGACCATAAACCCCAGGCCCATCCATATGGGGTCTGTTGTTAGACACTGTCCTGAGCTCAAGTACCAGGGAAAGCATGCACCCTTTAAGGAGGAGGATGACCAGCTCCTAAAAGGACAATCTACAAAAATGCTCGAATGCAGCCGTGTTGACATGCGGGACAAACACAGATAAAAGAGGCCATTTTGTCACTTAGCTGAGTGATGTCCAAACTGTTCTATGTCCTTCAAAAGTGGCGTCTGTAGGGCCTGAAGCAGACAGATCTGCCCAGCATTCCGGACCCTACCTGTAACTGCTAAATCATCAAGAAAACCAGGCGTCTCACCTCTCTTCCCTCATGAGTGATGCTTTTCCCCTCCTTGACAGCAGCAATGATGGGAGCAATGGCAGCCGTCCCACTGAAATGAAGAGGCACGGCCTCCGTGAAATGGGATTTCCTTAAGTGGAAAGGTGTACCCAGTGGGTCCCAAGAAGCCTCGCCCCCACACTCACACTGGAAGGCCCAGCTCCTTTGCTTTGAGCACCAGGAAGCTTCCTCTCTTTAAGTGAAGCTGCAGCAAAGAGAACATAAATGTGATTTTAGCGGCTAATGAAGAAGTTTGGTTTTAATCAATTTTCTTAGAAGTGTATTTTTCCAGATTAAAAAAAAATAACGCTGGCCGGGCGCGGTGGCTCACGCCTGTAATTCCAGTACTTTCAGAGGCTGAGGCGGGAGGATCACCTGAGGAGTTTGAGACCAGCCTGACCAACATGGAGAAACCCTGTCACTACTAAAAATACAAAATTGGCCAGGCGTGATGGTGCATGCCTGTAACCCCAGCAACTCAGGAGGCTGAGGCAGGAGAATCACTTGAACCCCGGAGGCGGAGGTTGCAGTGAGCCAAGATCGCGCCATTGCACTCCAGCCTGGGCAACAAAAGCGAAAGTCCATCTCAAAAAAAATAAAAAATAAAATAATATTATTTGCTTACAATTCACTAAAACACCTTTATTGCTTTCAGAAGGTATACTATATTCTGAAGAAGTCATTTATTGTCAAATGCTTTAGTACTAAAAGCCAAAATGACTTAAATCAGTGTTTTATTTCCCAGCATTAACTCATTATAAATTTAATAAAATGTAATTCAATATGAAAGTTAATAAATATCCTTCAAGTATCATCGAGGAGAAACACTGTTCTGTCATTCTACATTCCTCCATAGCTAAAGGAATGTCACCAGGGCACTGCCTAACACAGCAACCAGCAAGCAAACTGCCATGTAACATAATATTTCAATGACAGTGATAGGCTAACAAAAGGATGGATGATTTTATTTCTCCTGTATTTTTCAATTATTTGGCAATATAACGCCACTGCTTTTATCTTGGAGAAAAATTACAATAAAAAATCCCTAATAGGCCAGGCACAGCAGCTCATGCCTGTAATCTCAGCACTTTGGGAAGCCGAGGCGGGTAGATCATGAGGTCAGGAGATTCAGACCGTCCTGGCTAAGGCGGTGAAACCCCATCTCTACTAAAAATACAAAAAATTAGCCAGACGTGGTGGCATGCGCCTATAGTCCCAGCTACTTGGGAGGCTGAGGCAGGAACCCAGCAGGTGGAGCTTGTAGTGAGCTGAGATCGTGCCACTGCACTCCAGCCTGGGCGACAGAGACTCTGTCTCAAAAAAAGAAAAAAAAAAAAACCCGTAATATATTATTATTTTAGAAAGGCAAACAATAATTCTATCAGAAAACTTCATAATCATTTTATAGGAAAAAAAAATGTTCACACACAGTAACAGAAAAAAGTCAGAAATGACATGTAGGCCTTTGAGTGCCGAATGACATTTGATTTTCATTTTCTCCTTTAAATCTTCATCAACTGAGACGCAAACTACTCTGTCTGACAGCTTTGAAGAGAGCAGTGGATCTCCCAACACGGAGGTTGAGATCTGAGAAGGGACAGACTGCCTGCTCAAGTGGGTCCCTGACCCC